AAAAATAAATAAAATAAATTTTTTAAAAAGGGAAAAACCTTGTGCATATTTGATGTGGGCTAGATAACCAGAAGACTTGGAGAGGTGGAAGAAAATAACTATAAAAGTCTAGGAATTTGCACTAATTGTTCCTCAATCCACAGAGACCCAAAGTGGAAATTGTAGAGGATGGATCATGGGTGTGATCAATTTAAAAATGATGAAGTGAATGCTAGTGGAATATACATAAAGGAAAGACCTTGGTCCAATATAAAAAAAAACTGGCAACTGAATGTTTATATACTTTAAATTAAAATAAAAACAAAATATATACAATTCATGATTACTGACTGTGCCAACTTTTTAGAAAACCAACTATCACTTTCCATCAGAAGTTTTTATTCTACTGTATTCCTGCTGGAATCTGATGTCAGGTACACAGCCTAAGGTAAAGTCTAGTTTTACTGAAAAGTTAATCCTGGAATGGCCAAATTACTAGTTTACTATTTTTCTCATTTCTACACTGAATGTTTTTCCAAAACACAAGCCATAAATGTTTTTATGAAAACATTTTCCAAATACAGGTCCCACAGAAATTTAAATTCCTCTAAGTCATGCAAATTTTGTTTTATAATTACCTGTACGTCCTCTGGGCTAGAGCTTCTGCACACACTTGCCAGGCATCTGGGGAAATCTTTAACTGCTCAAAATATGCCAGGGCCTGTAAGATTGCAAAGCCGTAAATGCATTTAGAATAGTCAATCTCAGTGCCCAACTGATATTAAAATATTCTAGGAGTAGCAAACCAATAACAAATCAGTCAACCTGAAGAAAAATAGCTAAAACACTGAATTCTGGCTTCTGAATAAGTGCAACTTATCGTTCCTAGAAAAAAGGTTAAGTAAAAAACAAATTCCATCAGTTAGATACTCAAATCTGTTTCCTTACAGCAAAGGAGACAACACAAAAATGTCCTGCAGACCTCAATGGGTAATTATGAGTATTATGAGAAAAAATACACAAGTACTTTTCAAGTGCTATGCTACTGAGGCATATGCAATTATAAAATAGTATATAAAGGGCATTTTTCCTATTTAATAACAAAATACTATTAAAGAGGTGATTATAAAATTAGAGTCCATGGGGCACCTAGCTAGCTCAGTTGGTGGAGGGTGCGACTCTTGATCTCAGGTTCAAGATCAAGAGGGTGTACAGGATTACTTAAAAATTTTAAAAATCTTAAAAAACAAAAAACAGGGGTGCCTGGATGGCTTAGTCAGTTAAGCGTCCAACTCTTGATTTCAGCTTAAGTCTTGATCTCAGGGTTGTGAGTTCAAGTCCCATGTTGGGCTCTCTACTGGACGTGGAGCCTACTTAATTAAAAAATTAATTAATCGGGGCCCCTGGGTGGCTCAGTTGTTAAATGTCTGCCTTCAGCTCGGGTCATGGTCCCGGGGTCCTGGGATCAAGCCCCGTCAGGCTCCCTGCTCTGCAGGAAGCCTGCTTCTCCCTCTCCCACTTCCCCTGCTTGTTTTCCCCCTCTTGCTGT